AAAGAGAGAAAGAGAGAAAGAGAGAAAGAGAGAAAGAGAGAAAGAGAGAAAGAGAGAAAGAGAGAAAGAGAGAAAGAGAGAAAGAGAGAAAGAGAAAGAGAAAGAGAAAGAGAAAGAGAAAGAGAAAGAGAAAAAGAAAAAAGAGGGAGAAAAAATAATAATAAAAAAAGTTGTCTCAAAACATTGCTAGGCAAAACCCTAGTAGAGTATAATACAGGATATAAAGATGTTTAACATAATTTAACCATATAGATAATTCTTGGAATTTAATTGAGAAGATAAGGAGATGATCTGCAGTGACTAGATTGAGCCAGGTGAAAAGGCTACAGAATGGAAGCCTTAGGAAACCCAATATCATGCAGGAAAGCGCAACTCCAATTGCACAACGCTACATTCTAAATTAACTATTGCTTACATTCTTAGGATCAAACTGTGTAAAAACCTAATCAATGTACAAATGTATTTTAAAAAGCACAAATATTACAAAAAAGGAAAAGAAAATCGTATTAATACTTAGCATTGCAGTTTCATGCATTCTGCAACATGCTATTCTGACAGATTTTAATGTGCGGACCGTATAGATAGTCAACTTCAGGCTTTCCTTGAGGGCAATTGTTTGATTCAGCTGAACTAAGGTACCTGAGATTATTTACYAGAACTTTTTCACTCAAAAATTTAAAAATAATAGAGGTATTCCCATAATCTAGGAAGTTTCTTACCATAACAACTACTGGTCTTTTTTGCCTTGTTAAGAAGGAAGGTAAAGACTTCTGGGGTTTTTGTGGTTTTTCAGTGCTTTTATTGACCTGAAAATTCCAGAAGAGAAATATTAGTCCTCAAGAAAAATCCTCTCACTTAAGATTGTCTTTTATGCGTTTAAAGCACATCAATTGTGTCAACATTAGCATTACTGACCTAAAGTCAATTTCAGTGTATAGTGCCAGTTTCACATATTCTTTGTCAGTTAAGTTTTACATTATGAACAAACACAAATTATGAAACAAAGAACACAAATTATATTAATTGATTTTATATCAGTTTAGATATATTTCTCATCTTGCATATTTTATGAAGTATTTTTTAATTAGCAAGTAGCTAAAGCAAATGTCTACAAGAATTAGAAAAAGTCTAAAAAAGTTAAAAATCAAAGTTACATTATAACTTTTTCAGGTTGTTCCACTTATTCAGTATTTTACAAGCAATATCTAATTAACTTTCCTAAATTTTAGAGGAAAGAGAAAACATTTCAACATTTAAGTTAAAATATACACCTATCAAAATATATTTATATGTAATGTCAATAGGTGCATAGAAATGTTGACAGTATATAAACACATATATGCATATATACACATATATGTGCATATATATAAATATATATTTATAAAAAATTTTAAGGAATGCACCCAAATCCAACATTAGAAATATATATGATTTCAGAGATTTTCTTCTGATGAGCTGTCTTTAGCTAATTCAAGAAGTCCATACTTAAACTGTGATTTACTTTGATGTACGGTGAAGCTTTTAAACTCAATAAATAAATAAATAAATGGACAAATAGATGATGTATTCATTGTATATGCCAATATATCATCACAACTGAGGAAAACAAGCAGGTAGACACTTAACTGTATGTCTCTTCTTAAAATCTCTCAACTTCACTAGCATGTGAATATTAGCTTAACTGAGCTGCTTAACTGAGCTTTCCTTAATCAGGAGCTTAATTCACCTTTATCCCTCTGCCTCTAGCTATACAACACAATATTAATGTAGGACTTCTAATGATCAATGACACATGTATAGAAATTGTCATATGAGTTGGTATGTGATATACAAAGTTGCTCCTAAGTTCCACAAGAAATATAGCACAAAAAGCAGCGCTGCAGTCACAAGAGAGAGCTTGGAGCAAACTGGATAGATTCATGAATCAACAAGCTCATAAATTCACTGTAAAAAATTGGATCCATGATGGCAGCAGAGCAATGATAGTGCACCTGGGGGTCTGATCTGGCCAGAGATATACACCCATGGTGGTGAAAGGTAGAATGGGTTTAGAAGCATGGATCTTCCCACAAGCATATTCTCACAACATCTTTTTTTCCAAATACAGAATTACTTCAGTGAAGAAATAGCACTTCTGGGATTTCTTCATGTAAAAATACACGTAAATGTTTAAATAGTTTGATAAAATTAAATAGTATTTTCCAATGGTGAAATTTTGAAGTGTTAACGGCAGATATCTTAATCTTTTTAATTTTGAAGGCATAGTTTTGGCTTCAAGAGTTTTTTTTTTACCCTAGGGCTTGTGTAGAAAACTATCAGAATATCTTGTCTGTCTACTTTAATCTGTACAATCTCACATTTACGTGCATGCACACCTTAGATAAATGTATGTGCTCTGTCATCATGAAAACCTAGATAAACACTTTTCAAAACGGAGAGAGATCTCAATCTTTGCTAGCAACTGTTTTTTATATGTACTGCAACATGAACCATCTTTTATGTACCGTTCCACCCTTGACTTCAATAGTGTCGTCTCTAAATATAATTAGAGATAATTGTAACGATAACATACACAAGAAACTTCCTTTATCTTGACACCTTTATTTGGCAAACGGCATCCTCTCTCCTTTTATGATGATTCTCAGATGGTCCTCTAATAAAAAAGTACCGAGGTGCAAAGAATTCCCACAGACTTTTAACTGATCTCTCTATCCAATTCTTGTGATATTTGCCCTTTTGAATTGGCCATTTTCTACGCACAACTGCAATATTTTTGTTAGAATGCTAATTTATATCTTTGCACTTGATATTCAAACCAAAATAGATTTAAGTATTCAAATAATAGCACTGGTGATTAATCATTATACTTTTTGCTGTTGGTGAGCTATTAGGGCAAAACGACTCGCARTTTCATTTTATATATTTTCAAAAAAGAACAGGCTATTCATATGTGAATATAATCACATAATATATTTTGCTTTGAGGTGCCATTCAGTGTAACATATGAACATGGAGCTATATCAATGTAATTTTGCTTAGAATTAAGTGTGTTCTTAAATCTCTCCTTCAATAGACTATTACTTAGAAAAAAAAGCAGATTGCAGTAAGTCATAAAACTATGACACTTGAGCAAGCAGAGAAATATATTTTTTAAAGGGATTGTTATTTTAAAGTATAGATAGAGAAGTTGTGACAAACAGCAGAAAGATGTAAAATCATAACCTAAAAAAGCTGTCTCAGAGCTTATTAGTCTAACAAGAGGTGGTTAACTAATTCACAAATCACACTATTTTTTTAAAAAATTTGTTCCATCATAGTTGTATTACTTTTCCAAATCATATTTTGTGCTTTTAATTTATTTTTTTTCTGAGCAATTATCATTGCAATTAAAATCTTCTCTGCTTTGCATGACAAAATATGCCTGAAGTACTTATTTAAACTTGTAAATAAATTCTAAAAAAGAGCAGAAAAGTTTAGACACAAATATTCAAAATATTTGGGCATATTCAGAATATCACTTCCTCTTGATTGGTTACCCCTCTTCTTTACAAGGTACAAAYAATTCCTCAAAAATATTACTCATTCTAGTAAAGTATACATGTCTATAACTTTCAAAACTCTCAGTTTTTTTTATTTGTTTGTTTTTTACACCTCTCTCTGCTTTCCTTTTAAAGACTTTTTGAAATTACCTGATAATCAGCAGGGCCAGGAGTAGAAAATTCTTCCTCTTCATGAAGCAGCAAATATCTAGGAGCTGAAGAGCCAAAAGCTGCTCTCTTTGTGTAGGCCAAATACATGTTTTTCATACTTTCGTTTTCAATACTATAGTTCAGAATGTTATAGAATGCAGGGCCTGAAAAAACAAGTCAAAAAATTTCTGACAGCCTTCAACAAAGTTTTCTTTTTAAAATAAAACTTTATAATGGCATAATTATTAATATACCTTCAAAACAGTTCTGTCATTTTTTTAATAACAAAATACTCTCAGTTTAGATACTGGCTGGGTGAAAATTTCCCATTTGTATAATGATGATAGTTGTATTCCCAAAATGGATACAGTATGTACTGTTGAATATTTTCATATTGTGTCTGGTATTCAGCAGATAAAATGAAAAATAATTTATCTGTAGATCCTGAATACAACTTTCTACCAACAAGGTGACTGACTATTTACAGGGCGAGGGATTTTTTCAGTAGCAGATCTGAAGACAATTTGTCAAGCCTTTAACAAGACATCATAGGGATTTTATTAGCATGTCTAAGAGACATGAAAGTCTTCGTCCTGGGGATACAATAATCAAGCAAGCGCCGAATTGAGTCTTTCGTTGTCTAAAAGGTGTCTGGAGATTAAACGGTTTGTGCTGCCGTTGAATTCAGTTATACTAACACATCATAGGCCCAAGTCCAGCATAGGCTGCCTTCCTCTTTTTCATTATGAAAACAATTGTGTAATCCACCCTATTCCCCATTGGTAGAGGAGAAATGAATAACACAGGACACTTTTTGGTGTATTGAAGCAGGCTTATATGAGAGGAACCCAATAAAAGATTTAGACAGCTGGTCACAGGACAGCATGAGGCAAAGTGTACTGCGTAATCTCTAATGACAGCACTGAGAATTGAGACATCTAATGTGATACACAGAGATGCTCAGTGGAAGAGGACAAACATATGGCTTCTAGGTATACTTTAAGGGATTGCCAGCAATATGTTGACAGCTAAACTGAAAACCTATTTGAAAAATTAATGTCTGCCAATGGTAAAGGAGGGGACTTCAGACTTATTCTCCGCACTGCTGATAAAAATAGAATCAGCATCACTTTCTAAATTTGCCTCAGCATTACTCAGAAGAATCAGACAAGAGATTTTATGTCAAAAAATTAAATATGTTGCCTCTTGCTTCTCAGTAATTACCATTAGCAACCAAGCAACCTAACCCAAGCAACCGTTTACAAACACTCAAAAGTAATAAATAAATAATAAATGAAAAGAAATCTTCAAAAAGATCAGTCTCTCAAGATAACGCCTTGTGCCTACAATGAGACACTGAGAATGTAAAAGGTGCTAAGGGCAAAGCTTCACGTTCACGGTGTGAGCAAAGAGATATGGAGATAACACCATTTCATTTCTGAGTATCTCCTCCTTTCTAGTGCACGACTTAAGTGACTGGCTGAGAAAGTAGCAGTGGGGTGCCCGTCTCTCACCTAAACGGCACAGACAACTGGCCTGAAAGTCAGGAAATAAAACACAGCGACCACATAAGGAATCGGAGGCAAAAGGTGACCTTGCCAGAAATCTCTGTGTTGCAGAAGATTGGCATAACGTGCACACAAAACAAAGACAAGCAAATGGAAAAAAGTGCTAGTTCAAAGTGCTTGCTGACACCAGMTGACTGAGAATAACTGCTATGGCAACAGCACACTTCACATAACTATGCACCAACTATGGGGCAGCGAACGATGTGGATTTGCCTAATAGAGATACTTTCCACACTTGCCCTTCCATTAATATGTTCAAACTGCAGACATAGAAAGTAGACCCAAGTCTGCAAACAGAATACTGAACTGTTTAACACAGCCTCAACTAGAGTACAACTTATTTCTGCATAATAAAGATAATATTATTCAACTATTCAAATAAATTGAAATACTAGCTACAGATGTAATTTCAGGATGTACTGTTCTCTCCATATATACACCTGGATATGTGACTACTGCCAGAATTGCGGTGTTGAGTTCTGCTCACAGAACATTTGAAAGGCAAGAACAAGAATACCTAAAGAAAAGTCAGAGACACAAAATCATTTCACATCAGGTACAATTTATTCTGAACAACCTTTAGAAGAAGGTCACTGTTTTGCTACATTACCTAGAGCACTAGAGTGAGGATAATAAATTAAAGATACATATCACTACTAAACTGATGTGAGATATAATCTTGCCAACAGCCTGAAAACGTAATTAATAGAGCACACATTGACCTCAGCAAAATCACACTCTCCATAAAAGGATCTTTGTTGTTTTGTTGATAGACAGCTGTAGAGCCTGTATTTTTGTATTTTGAAGAAACCACCTTATTTAACACTAGCCCAAAAGTAGCTGGGAGGGGGAGGGAAGGGAGAGGAAAAGAGAGAGGTGGAGAACCAATATCCACAGATGTCATTTATATTGCTTTTTTGTTAGGTGAGAATCTTAGGAATGAAGTAAACAAATCATCCTTTTCCAAATTAGTTTGCATTTTTCATAGGTAAGTTGTGTTCATATTTTTAGAAAATCCCCAAAACTGGTGAGTTAGAGACCACATTTGGATTCCTTTGGGCAAAATCTAGTATAAATAGCTAAGTCTTTGATAGGTATGTTTTCTCTAATTCTTAGAGCATTTTCATTTCAAATTAATTTCATATTTTCTGTATTTTCAGTTACATGGCTAATTACTTATGTTTCACAATATCTAACTAATATTAAAGTTATGTAATCTGGATATCAGCAGTATTTGGATTAATTGCAAACCTGGCGTGCTTTCTGCCCTGAAGTCTTGAGTAAATCGAACAGCAGTTTGACCAAACGGGATCCTTTTTATTCCCGATGTTCTATTCAAGGACTCAAGACCCACRGATGGTTCATTATAGGTGCCAGGAGCTGGTGTGATTGATTTCACTGGTACAAATCTCTAGTAAAACACAAGGAAAAATATATTCTACTGACAACCTACAGGACATTCAGAATCTGCACAAAGCACTTGCTTCAGTTCAGTACATTTACACTCTTCCTCTCTTTCATAATCAAGGTAACTTAGAAACAGTGACAGCCACCACCTTGAATTTTTATGCTCTTGTAGGAGGGAGTTGCAACTCTGATATATTAACTCTGCATTTGTACAAATTTGTACATATTATACACACATGCCCAAATACATAGCCATATGAATAGTTAACAAACACGATGCTTATTCAGTCAGACCTTGCATTCAAGATGTTGATATAGACATGCTTTCAAAGATATGCCTTCTTTTGAAAAATTATGTCRTCCTTTTACCAGTTTTTATCATTACTGTCTCTATATGCTGCGCATACTGTATACAACAGTGCAGAAATTGAGGGTTATTTTATGATCCAACACTTACATACAGTGATACCACCAGCCAGATAGTACATATTGCAAAACGATAAAGGGAAAAAGAATGGGAAATATTGGGAGAGTAAACCATGGTAGAGCCACTTCTTTATCTGTTGTGCATAAAGAACATAAAGAAGATTATTCTAAGGCCTCATTCAAAATTCCCTCTGATACCTCTGACACTTAACATTCTTAACTGTAGAGGCTAAATTACAGATAATGGTCGAGTCAGTAGCTGACCATATTATGGCTATCACATTTAAATTAAAATCAAGCTAAAAGGTAGGTCTGCATGTTCAGAAAGATGAACACAGAGAGTAAAATTACTAGAATGTCTAATATGCATGTCTGTACTAATGAACTATACAGCATCAGGGCACAGTTCTGAACACTGGAAGTCATTTCAGAATACAGATAATACAGAATACAGAATAATACATAATACAGAATACAGAAAGATAATGTACTTGATAGACACAAAATCCGTTTTTGTCCTAAATACTTCCTAAAATAACAAATACAGATAAAAAAAAAAAAAGTGAAAAAAAAGGAGGCCTTTGAAGCAATCACAGAAGGATCACATTTACTCAGGCTATAACACATTTTCCAAAAGCACACTGTTGTGAGCCACCCTGTTGGTGAGTCCATTAGAACATTTGTCTRGGTTGTGTTCACACACATCTCAGTCATCAACCACTAGACTAAGTGTAGAAACACACAGAAATAATTAAGCAATCATAGAACACACGACAATTATGATTTCTTGTCAATTCCCTTATTGTTTTACTCATCATGCTATTATAATACATAAAGAGGAAGAAAAGGATCTTCCTTTTCTTAGAAAAAGAAAAGAGGAAGAAGGTGATCTTACTTCAGATTGTGAAAGAAAAGGAACATGTAGAAATGTTCTACCCTGCTGCATGGTGCTTTCACTCTTCTGAAATTGACTTTCTATTTCATATTGTCCAGGTCCCGGAAAACCCTGAAAAAAAACCATCAATTGCATATATTAATTTACAAATTTAACCACAAAAATACTATTAAATTTAATTAACATTTTGCCGATTGTGGTTTGAATTCATTATTTGAGTGATTTCCAGCCACTAAGATTTTGTGGCAAATTGTTCGGTTTTCTCATGTCTCCTCCACAGTTCAACAAGCTCACCTGACATGTCATTCATTTGCATTTCCCAGTGCAAACAGCAGTACACTACATTACCCTACCTGAACCGAGAAAAGTCATTTGACATTTTGGCTCATACATAACACGTATTAAAGTCTATGTATGAGCTGTACGATCTACTTCGTCCCGGAGAAAACAAGGTCAAGTTCAAGATGCTAATCCTGGAAAAAAAGTGTTGTTAAAAGTGTTCTTAAAATCATGTACCTGAAATAAAAAGACTCGGCAAAAATAARCAACAATCAAAAACAAATTTTAAAGTTTTTCTCAATTTTGAAATTTCAGACTCCAGAAATGTAGTAATTTTACAGACAGCAAGAGCCTGCATGACTGCAAAACACGTTGTTATATTAGACACTTAACACGATCTTATCCTCAGAAAAAGAAAATAAACAAAAATCAATCGCGATTCCATTTTGCCTAGGGTACATACAAGGTCTAGGGCAAASACAGAGGGGACGTTTAGGTATGTGATGATAATAAACACCTCAATCTATTCATAACATTGTATCTGTTTATGCTGAATTTTTCATAAAGTAATCATTTTGCTATATTTTAGTAAACAGTATGTTACCTTTTAGTAGAGTTCCTTCTTACTATCATCTGTCTACTGAGGTCTGCTTATATTACAATTAATTTACTGCTATTTGTTTTTCAATAAGCACAGAAAACTGCACTATGTACATGATTCCTACAGTACTCAAGAATTAATTTTGTACTGAGCAACTCTGCTATAAAAAGATATGATTACAATTAATAAGTTAGACAGATTTTAATTATCCTTCTCATATTTTTAGCCTTTCATTAAACTGGTATCATTACAACACAATCTTTCTCACTGAACCATATATCATGAAACAGACTCCTTAAATTATTTTGTATTGTTACCATCAGAATACTTTCTACTCTAAAATTGGTGGGAATGCAGATCAGACAAAAACAAATTTAGGATTATTTAAGCTTTTGCTTACAAGTTYCTTAATGATCAACAGAAACTTACAAAGAGAATTGTAATCTGTGGTGGAAATACAAATTAAGTTGTCAGGCTCTTCCAAGCCTTACGAGGCCGGAGGAAGCCTTTGCCCTGAGAAAGATGGAAACAAGAAAGAAGGGGGAAAGCCTGTTCATTTCTTGATCAAACTATAGCACTGCTGACAAAGTCAACAYGTCAACAATTATTTCCTAAAGTCAACAGTTATTTCCTAAAAACAAGAATATTTTCATCATTTTTTAGCTTCTCTTGCCTGAAGCAGAACTGAACTTCAGTTAATTTGTCAGCAACCAAGTACACGAAAATTGTTAGACAAATTCCACTAAGGACCAACATGATAAACAATTCTGGAAAGAGAAAGCACAGAAACTAAATGGCACCATACTGGCCACAACTTGAATTGTGTGGTTCAGTATTTTCTACACAGGTAAGTTCAAAGTAAACTAAGAAAACGCCTAGTCTGCATAGGCAGAATGCTTATTCAGATTTAAATATGGCATAGATAATAAGAAATAGCTGAAAGCCAAGTTACTCATTTCCAGCTCATCAGATCTCTTCAAATGTTGGAAAGCTTTGGATGAAGAATCCCCCCTATTAAGACAAATATATCACAAATTTGTTTACTTCTAACTTGCACTAAGAGTTTAGTGACTATTTCGCCACTAGGGAAAAAATAAAATAATAAAAACAAAAAGAAAAAAAGAGAGGTAGAGACAGAAAGAAAACAGGGTCATTAATGCTGGGCATTCCAAGTAACCCAAATGACCCAGCAGCTCAGTTCCCACTGGCACACAGCCCTCTTAAATTGCTCTGAAAGCTCCAATTCGCTATTAACGCATCTCCTGGAGATTTGCTAACTGGATTTCCTTAATATTGATTTAATTAAGTTTCAGGATTACAGGTCAGTACTGATTTCAAAGCGAAGTTTATTGCCTCCAATTTAACAGGGAAGCCCCAAAGGTTGTTTAAAACCTCCTTATGCAAAATATTCATGTCTCAAAAAGCATTCAAGTAAGAACAAAACAAAACAAAAAATCAGCAAATCCAAAGGTTCTTATCACAAGACAATAACATAACTGTAGGTAGTATTTTAAATGCATAACCACATATATTCCTTAGAAAAAAATAGAGATGATAAACTTCAGTCAAACAACAAATTATTTTGAATCCTGTGAGAAACAGAAGGAAAAAAAACCCATAAAACTGTAGTCATTACCAAATCTTTTTGCAGTCAGAATATACTTTAAAAGACTTTTAAACTAAAAAGGAGTGTGAAACTCACAAAAACAAGTAACTTTATTATGTTAATAGATCACATAGATGTATTACTGAGAATTTTTAAGGTTGCCCCGTGTTTTATCAACAAAAATACATTTTCATTATCAATATAAAGATCTATCAATATAAAAGTCCAAAGGGAAGTCATAGAGAAAACTATATTTTAATCCTTGATATTTTTGCTACAGGTAATATGTAACAATAATTTTATAGATACTAGAGAAACAGTAAAATGGCAACAGTGAAGTTGAAATCATCATAGTCAAAGTTATAAAAACACATTGTAAGATTTGAAAATGTCTCAACAATCATATTTTAATCCTATGTATTATTCTGATTTTTAGGCATGGCATATATTTATGGTTCCCAAAGCATATTACATTAATTACATTTAAATTCTTTATTTTTCTGCTTGACAAGTAAATGTAAGTTTTAGTATTCAGAATTTTTACCATCTTTAAGCCTTTAATACTTTCTATAATAAATATGTAAAATCAGTTCAAGATGATGTCAGTGCCAGCTACAGCTGAATTATTGCTGAAAATTATATAAATACAAATATAGAGAAAAAAACTACATTAAGCTTACTTCAAAAGCTCTGTTAGACTTCGGCTGACTGGAGAGGTCTTTTTAAAGATCTGAGGTACTAACAGAATAGTTGGTCTTAAGTATTAACAATATACTGAAACAAAACCTTGATCCCCAAATCCACTGGCACTCTGTGAATTCTTCTTCTGTTTATACACTGTGTCTATTTGTACTCCGTCTAATGAGATGCACTATGCATAGGATTAATTTAAATTGCACAGCAGTTGTGAGCATTTTTCCCCATACTCAACTCAAAGAGACCTTTGTACGTTTGCACTCTGAAGGGGCTGGGGTTCAACAAAGCTTCAAATACATAATTATTTCTGAACTATGGCCACGTTTTCCAGCAACCTTTTCACATATTTATGCCATTTACACAAACACATCTCAGAGCAGAGTCTAGGTTCAAAATTGTTGTGCTCAATGTTTTGTTCAGTCCTCTGCCTTTTTGCAGATCCATTAAGTACTTTAACTCCTTGAGACTTTCACACTTCACAAGACAAACTTGCCAGTTTAAGGCTATGTTGTCCTTTCTGCAACACACCTTCATGCTTTTTTGGGGTTTTTTTTGTTTTGTTTTGTTTTGGTTTTTTTTTAAGGAATCGGCAAACGAAGCTGCATAACATCATGATCCTTCTCTCATGGCCAAAAAGCCTWTTTACATCAATGGATTTTTTCTGGACTTAGACTTAGTGAAATCTAGAACCTGGCCATTGGTTACACAAAGATTAATACTTCCCATTACTTAGTTTGTCCATTTCCTGCCTGATAAACCAAAGACTAGAACCTGAAAACTGAGGGCACTTATAAATATAAAAAAGACATTTTATTGTATACATTATATATAATTACACAATATGCATACATATTGTAAGGTACAAATGCAACAAACTTTTTGTAGATTTCTTTTTCCTTGCATTTATTTTGTGCATTGAATAGAACAAAGCTCATGTTTGAAGTATCAACATTCAGTACATTTTCATCTATGGCAAACAATTCAGGCTCCTCTCATTCTGTCTACATGTCCTGAACAACAGAATACTCCTAAATTTTTTTCCAAGTAGCAATCTGATTTCCATAAATCATTAGTTTTCAAATGCATCAGACAAAATCTTACAGTATTAGAATACTTGAGTGGTTTGTTCTGTTTTGCGTTTTCAAAAAATAAATAAATAAATAGGATGTAGCCTAACTTCTGTTAACAGATGTTTTCCTACTGATTTAATAAGGATCAGATACAATGTTCAAATCACCTGCGCTAAGTCCAAGGCCAAATCATCATACAGCTGCTACATCTAAACAGCTTTTCTAGACCTTAAAAAACATACTTTAAAATTCAAGTCCCCCTTTCTTGCTAGGATGCATTTTTCTCATATTTTTCCCATATTAATGTAAATGCAGAAATCTCTACAGAAAGCATCTTTTGACTGCTAAGGYAAGAAGCAGGAAACACCTCACTTAGGTCACACTAACTATGCCCAAAAGGTTTAATGACAAATTAGTCCAAACCTCCCTTTCTCCCCAACCAGACTGAAGGATTATAAGTGACACAGATTTGCTAAACTGTTCTCACGTCGCAGCTCATTCTTGGCCTTCAGCCTTCCAGGTTTGAAGAAGCCTTAGCACAGTATAGCTACACATAACTACAAATACAYATACAAATGTTACTTCTAATAAGATTTCCTTATACGATAAACTTAGCCTACTCTTGAAAAATAATATAAAGGAATACTACATCAATACTGCCTGATATTAACATTGCTTTAATCAAATTAATTTCATTGAACACAACTAATATGCATATTCTAATCAATATCTATGCATATTCTAATCAATATCTTCCTGAAAATAGTTCATGATACTAAATTATAGCAATCTTTTTAAAAGGGTCAAATTTGCTGATCTGTGTTTAAGATATATCAGGCATGAAAATGCATAAGTTTTG